GGTTGGACTCGATGATCTTAGAGGTCTTTTCCAACCTCAATGATTCTATGATTCTATGTTCCTCCGGGACAATGCAGACCACAGAGTCCAGAAGGAAGCAGCCAGGGACAAAACATGCACCGTCAAGGTTGCTGTAAGCTTCCAGAGGAAATCAGACAAACGTAGCCTGAATCACTTCTAGGAAATGCTGCAAAACTTTCCTCTCTTAAAAGATTTTTCCATCATAATCAGGGCAACATTCACAACATCAACTCTTCCCCTTCCCACTTAGAGAAAAAATATGCTGCCCCCAAGCAGAGCTTTCTCAACCCAGAGAGGCCAGGCACTCCAGGAAGGCCACCAGGGATTATGCTATTACCAGTCTAATTACCACAGAAAATGCTTACATGAAACAATGAGAGATGGTAGAACAAACCCAAAGGTAAAATCAGTGGGGACCTTTTGAAGCAAGCAAATCATCAGAGACTTTGTTCTGCCTACAGGGAAAGAGAAAAGAGGCCCTCAGTTTGTCATCTGGATTTACTAAAAAAAAGAAGAATCAAGCAAACAAGCAAAAAAAATCCCCCCAAACCCACAAAACACAAAAATACTTCTTAATTTTGTAAGTTTACAGCTGGTGCTCTCCAAAATTGCAATTTCTTTCCTGGGTCTGATCAGCTGCTATGGTTTTCCAAGTCTTTCAAAGAAGGCCTGAAGGCCTCTTCAAGATGGAAACACAGGCCTCATGGCTACGTGAACCTTCACATAGATGACTCTAGGAAGCATTAGGAAAATATAAAGCCCTACCAACACCCAACCCATTTTTCTACACATGAAAAATATTCCTAGCTCAGCATAGGCAAATTTTTCAAGAGCAGGCAACCTGGCAATTAGCCAAAATACTATTAAGTGCCCCCTCCTCCAGCTGTCATTAGTATTCAGATCTCTCTCTCCCTTGTTGCCAGGTATACCTGGGAGATTCCATGCAGGGAGCAGCCTAGAATGCGTTGTTATTATATATAACATGCTGTAATATCTTTTGATTATTGTAATGTCAAGTTTTCTATATTTTTGCAGCTCGAAAGGACTCACTTGGCCCAGGCACAGAGCAGGGACCTGTTGTGCAAGACGATGTAACCACACTTTTTTTATTAAAACCAAAACCCATTCCCTGCCCCCACAGCTTCCAATGTCAGTTACCGCAGCACATGCTGGGCAGACAGAACAAAGAAATGGGGAGAACGGACAAGAAAACAGGAAGATGAGAGAGCAGCAAAACAAATCTCGGTATGAGGACCAGGCACTGTGAGTCATCTCCTGCCTGGATGGAGAGCAGAGCACTTATGAGCCATTAAAAGTAGATGAGATTTCTAAGTGCTCTAGGTCAGATACCACTGGTAACACTAAGCAAAACTTGGGTTTTGAAGCCTTGAAGCTAGAGGTGGTGGGGTTTCCTTGGTAGAAGAATGCAGACTGTACTTGGACTGATGGGCAGTTTTCAGATATCTCAGCTTCTGCTCATGATCACAAGGACCTTCTTACTGGCAAGCAGGGCAAGAGCCATC